CAATTGATGTATGTATGGATTGTGATAAGAGTTGTATGAACCCAATAAAATTATTAAAAATAAATAAATAATAAAAATCCTAAGTGATTAAAAAAAAAGACAAATAAAGAAAAGCACAAGGCTCTTATCTGGCTCTACTACCCAAGGGGGAGAATTATACAGTGTTGAAGTGCAAGGTGAGCCAGGGAATGTTGATCTAAGTGCTGTGAGGGATTTTCCTGAAATATTGGGGTTGTGGGGGAATGACTGAGTAGACAGGTTATTTGTTAGACCAAATAGTTCATGTAAGTGAGATTGGCTTATTTGTTGTGGGGGGTGGATTGGGAGCTGCCTTCAAAGACCTATAAAAAAAAAGGGGGGTAAAATACACCAGACTCAAAGCATCAAAGGCTAGGCTATTGTTATTGCTTAAGCATTTCAAACTCAAACCTTTGCTTGTGCCATGCTTCCTCAGTCTGAGAGAACTTTGGCCTGTTATTAAGGCACATCTTTCTGTTATTAGGAAGGCAAATGTAAAAACTTGGCTTATAATAGCCACTTTGAAAAACTGGCTCTTGAATCATATTGTACCTGCTGTTGAACATGACTGGTTGGCCAAGACAATTACTTTCAAGGTTCTCCTGTGCTTGACAACTCACTCAGACATTCAAACACTTAAAGAACCTTTAGTCTAACTTGAAAGGTATATATTTAAATCCCCCCATTCACTGCCCCCATCACCGAAGCCCCAACAGGACATCATTACTTTAGCGAATGGATCAGGGGGTCATATTCTCTTTGATGACCTGTTTTTATGGTGGACCTTCTCACAAGTAGTCATGGCCAACCACGTGGATGTGATCAGCTTCAGGCAGTTCATGTCTGCGATGCTATGAAATCTATTACTAATTCTTGGGATGAAGTGAAGCAGCCATATATGAAACAAGTAAGTGAGGAAAAATTGTGCTCCCAATTAGCACATGCTTTGCAGGGTTTTACAGCTGATGGCATGGCTGAAAATGAACAAGCTGTGGCTGATATTGGAAATCAACTGCACTTAGACACCAATGAAAACTATGCCATAGGGTTACCTGAGTCCCATGCCAAAGAACTAGCCCATGAAGAACTTATGAAATGACAGCAGCAAATGATACCTTCTGAGGGAGAAGACGGGGGCCTCAGAATTCCAGAACTGAAAAAGTTTGTGACAAAAGAGCTAGCCTTTTTCCTAGAAAGCGGATGGTGCTTGGCTACCAAAAGATATAACACCTGAAGTCACTGAAGACAATGGAAGCACAAGCGGGTGTGGTGAGGAAAGCTGATGGTGTTCAGCTATCAAAAGATATAGCACCTGAAGCCTTAAAGATCTGAAGATAAACAAGCAACCATCTAGCTGAGAGATAACAAAACCCACACGGAAGAAGCACACTATACTGTCCCTACTTGATCACTGAGGACAAAGGGGGTGCATTAGCAAAAGTGGTGAAGAAAGCAGATGGTGCCCGGTTATCAAATGATAGAGCATCTGGGGTCTTAAAGGCTTGAAGACAAACAGGCGGCCATCTAGCTAAGAAACAACAAAACCTACAAGGAAGAAGCACACCAGCCTACCCCACATGAATGCTAAAGACAAAGTGGGTACATAAGCAAATGCAGTGAAGAAAAGCTGATGATGCCAAGCTGTCAAATTACACAGAATCTGGGGTCCCAAATGCTGGAAGATAAACAAGGGGCCATCTAACTGAGAAACAACAAAGCCCACATGGAAGAAGCACACCATCCTGTAAGATGACAAGGTGGCAAAGGCATCAGGTATCAGGCATCAAAGACCCCCCCCAAGAAAACCCATAACATTGTGAATGAGGGGGAGTGCAGAGTGGGGACCCCGGGCCCATCCGTAGGAAATTGGACATCTCCTTGCAGGAGGGCTGCAGGGAGGAGAGGAGCCAATCAAAGTGCAGTATAGCAACGATGAAATGTGCAATTTTCCTCTAGTTCTTAAATGCTTCCTCCACCCCACTACTATGATCCCAATTCTACCTTACATATCCGACTGGACTGGAGGATGTACACTGGCACAGATAGAAACTGGAAGTACAGTGAACCCAGGATAGATGAACCCCCCAGGACCAGTGGAGAGAGTGGAGATATCAGGAGGGTGGAGGGAAGATGAGGGAGAAAGGGGGAACAGATGACAAGGTCTACATATGGCCTCCTCCCTGGGGGACGGACAGCGGAGAAGTGGATGAGAGAGACGTCGGATGGGGTATGATATGATAAAATAATAATTTATACATTATCAAGGGTTCAGGGGGAGGGGGGACCACGGAGGGAGGAGGAGCAACACCAAGGGCTCAAGTGGAAAGCAGTTGTTGTGAGAATGATGAAGTCAACATATGTACTAATGTGCTGGACACAAATTATGTATGTATGGATTGTGATGAGTTGTATGAGCCCCTAATAAAATGATTATTTTAAAAAAAGAGTTAGCCTTTTATCTCATTGGAACAGGAATGACAGTGTTAGAAGAACAAGAACCTTCTACAGAAATGTTCTCCCGTGATTTACAGTACTGAGGGCCTTAGCAGATGCAAGGCCACTCGTGATGAGATAAAGGGAAGCTATGCACAAATCTTCAAGAGATGGGCTTACGTAGTAAACCCCTCTGTCCACCGTCAAACCCTGCCTCTCGGGCACCAGGCCCATCATCTTCAACAGATGCAATCTCTCCATCACCCAATTATTACTGTTTCCATAATGTCGCCTCCTTAGTATCCCTTCCAGTATGCAAGACATCAATTGAACAAAAGCAAATATTAACCCTGAGTCACGATCATTTTTTCTGTTTTATAAACAATTTCTTTGATTTACTTTATAGAATGCTGTATTGTATACCTACACTCAAATGTATGCATGGATTGCCTCTCTTTGGTACATTACCACATGGAGTTACTTATTATTATTATCATTATTGTGTACTGTATTCTTTTTTTTAAATCATTTTACTGAGGGCTCTTACAAATCTTATCACAATCCACACATCCATCCATTGGGTCAAGCACATGGGTACATATGTTGCCATCATCTTGTGCACTGTATTCTTATGTTTATGGCATTTTAGTGCATTTGGCAGTGTGGTCTGAAATGTTTTATTTGCATACAAGAGTAATATACATGCAACATACTAAGGCAAACTTTTCACTTACTCTGACTAAGTAAAACCACATGTACCTGTTATTAACTGTCAACTCAACTTACAGACAGACAGGAACAGATCATATTCATAACCCAGGAACTACCTGTATAACCACATGGCCAATAGTTCTTAGCACCAACTTTGTCCCGAGCCTCTCATCTGGAACCAGAAATGGAAAGACTAGAGTTTCGGATAATGAATGAAACATCGCATGTGCAGCCATGGAACTGAACGCAGTTGCTGTCAAGTCCGTCCTGACTCATGACACGTTCCAGGCTGCCCGAGCAGAGCTGTGCTCCAGATGGGGGTTCAGTAGCTGATTTGCCGGGAAATCAGTCACCAGACCTTTTTAGTGAAGCGCCTTTGGCTGAACGCAAACCAACAAGCTTTGGGTTGGCAGCCGTGGATGTCACCTATTTGGACCATCCATGCACTTGGGTGAAGAAATTATATTTCACTACCCTGCTATATCTTTTTAGTAACTTGGAAGAAGGCTGTATCTCTTAAGCCCTCAGAGGGGGCATTCTAGAGATGAATCGGATTGAGGATATAGAGAGTTGACGAAGCCTGAGAGAGGCTGGGCATGGCACCGGGATTCCACAAATGGGCAGAGGCAATCTCAAGGTTCAGACACTCCATGGGTGAATCCAAAGCTCTGGCCCTTCCCAGCGTTTAGCAGTCTGGATAGCTCTGTGGTAGCACCATCTCATTTCTCCCTAGTGAGAAAATAAGAGCAGGGAATCTTACTCTTCCTAGATTTGAGGGGGCTGCAAAAACGTTGTGGGAAAATGTCATTATCTTTCAATTCCATTTTCTCGATGAATATTTTGAAGCCCCGCCTCCATGTGAAAAATAAGACTCGGACTCCGGACCACAGCCTGGGGGACCTCCCGATCAATGGGCATAACAGAGTCCTCAAACACATCTTTCTACCCCAGCTTTCGGTGAGTAGCAACTGGGTTCTTAAAAAGATCACGAGGGGCCATCTGAGATACAACTCTGATCACTCCCTGACCGGATGGAAGATGAACGATGGAAATAGAATATGCGCGGCATGGATGGATGGACTATGTGACCACCATCAGTCTCAGACCGTGGGACCAGAGGGTGTCAGCCTACCATGACCAAGTACTTTGAAAGAGACAACATTAGAAGGTCCTGGTAGAGTGGGGGGAAATGTGGGACAAAACTCAGAATCATTTAAAAAAAAAAGTGACGAGACTTTTTGTGGTGTGATGGAGATGGTGGAACCCCTGAGACTGTGGCCCAGAGTCATCGTCTGGTCTGAAAACTATTCACCTCAGTTGCTCCGTTTTCAAAACAGTAGACAGTTTTGTCAGGGGAACAATAACTGATGCGCCATAACCACCTTAGAAGAATCAACAGTTTGAGATTTGGGGACCCGATTTGCCCAAAGACAAAGTTCAGAAGGGTTAGGTGGGAGCCCAGGCAGGCGGTGGGATAAACGGTGCTGTATCGAGGGGATTGCAGTGAAAGAAGTGAGGCAAAATGCGTACGCGTTGTTGAATGTATGGCTGATGATCTGCTCGGGAAACCTGCACCCAGTTGACAAGAGAAAGTTAAAGAGATGTTTTCACAGTCAAGGCCCAGACAAGTGAATCAGTTAGCTGACGATCCCACCGCTTATTAGTGGAGAGGCCAATGTTTGGCACTTGTGTCCGCCCTCAAAGTTGTGGATGTGGTTCCTGAGCTCAGAGCCAAACCCTGAGATCAGGGCGAATTTCATGGACAGGGAAAGCCTCCCCTGACCCTCCTCTGCCAGAACAATATCCCATATGCTTGTTCTACTTGCCTCCCCCTCCAGGGTGGCCTCATTGCATTGCTGCTGCTCCTGCTTGTGTTCACCGTGGCCCTGTATGCTCAGCGGCGCTGGCAGAAGCGACATCGCATCCCCCAGAAGAGTGCCAGTACGGAAGCCACTCATGAGATCCACTACATCCCTTCTGTACTGCTCGGGCCCCAGGCCCGTGAGAGCTTCCGCTCCTCCCGGCTGCAGGCCCACAATTCTGTCATTGGCGTGCCCATCCGAGAGACCCCCATCCTCGATGACTATGACTACGAGGAGGATGAGGACCCACCTCGGCGCGCCAACCACATCTCCCGAGAGGACGAATTTGGCAGCCAGATGACCCATACCCTGGACAGCCTGGGCCGGCCAGTGGAAGAGAAGGTGGACTTTGAGAAGAAAGGTGAGTCCACTTTATGACATTACCCTTTCTTTGGGACATTCTGGGGGTCTGGGATGAGATGCAGAAGCTGGAGGGTTGGGCATACAAGCAGTGTCTTTTGGGATAAAATACTTGGGTTTATGGCTACCCTCTTTGTTGGATGATCCGAGTTTATCTCCACTGAGCCTTCAATAGGGGTGGGAGAGGAGACAGTGTCAGTGTTTCTAGAAATGGAGTTGTAGGAGACATCCAAGGGTACCTAGTTCAGTACCTCTCCAGTGTGTTCTGATTTCCTTTCCTCAGCAGTGACTTCACTAATGAGGACATAGGCTAGTCCATGTCCAGACACTTGTGACATGTATATGGTTTTTCTTTATAAGGTTTCCTCTGGTATTTATCTGACCCCCTGTACCCCAATGCCTACAGAAAATGCCAATCCGATCTTCCTTTGTCAAAGTATATCTTGAGAAATTGTGTGCCAGCAAAAAAATATGCTCCACAGCTGCTGGAAATCAACCTAAATCAGAGCCCCAGTTTCTTCGACTGTTCTCCTGTGGAATACGTTTCAGCATGCTGGTTAGTTTCCTCTAGATGGGAACACTCGGTTTTTCCCATTGCAGTTGTAATGTAACATCCGTGCCCCCACTCTTCTTCACCTGGGCAGAGAGAAATAGCACTTCCACCTCCTCCTTGTTAGCTACTATGCTGTGGTTGCTACATCTTGATGCCACATTTGGTTTTATGGCTATTGTTGACTCGTACCGGTCTTTTTGATGCTCAACCTCTCATTCTTTCTCATCTGTGCTGTTATTCAAGCCTATCTTTATGATCCTCCGTAGGGACTGTTCCCTATTTTGCTAGAGGCGTTTATTTCTGTACAGATGAAGTGTCTATATCTCAAGCTATCTAATTATAGGTAGAGTTTAGCTATTTTTCCTTTAATAAGATGCTGCAGTTCCATTTTTTTCAGTTCTTTGATTTGGTGGCGTGGCGCCAATGACGGGTTAACAGTTTGGTCTGGAAATTTCACTTTGAACACTGCCCTCTAAGAGCTCCACCCTGAAGCTCTGACCTCTACAGAGAACTTCTTCCACCCTGAAGGCTCACTCTCTCAGAGCCAGCTGCCCGTGATGCTCAGTGGGCAAATAGGAAGGTGGGCTCCTCACCAAATGAAGCATTTTCATCAAGCTCAGAAGCTTAGCAGGAGTCCAGTGGTATCGTCTAGAAGAACAGATTTTTTGAATCATCTGGACTTGGATTCAAATCCTACCTCTGTTAGTTACAAGATGACTATATTGGATCCTCCATGGCTGCTGTAAAGGATTTCCATAAATACAGTGGCTTAAAACAATGCACATTTATTATCTTACAGTGCGGGGGTGAGAAGTCTAAAAATGGGTCTCACTTGCTCCACATCAAGGTATCAAGAGGCCTCTTTTACATCTGAAAATTCTAGAGGACCATCAGCATTATTTTCTTTGCACCTTCTAGAGGCCGCCCAGGTTCTGTCACCTTGCTTCCCATCACACTGCCATCACATCTCTTCTCATTCTGAATTTCCTGCTCGCCTCTGATCAGGACTCGCAGGCTTCAGTGATCCTGCTGGATGATTTCCCCATCTCAAAATCTTCAGTCACATCGACACTCTCCCTCTTGCCCAATAGCTCGCAGGTCTGAGACTTGGACATGGGCATCCTTGGGGACAGCCGTTATCTTGTCCGTAGCAATGAGTCTGGGCAGTTGAAAATATAACCACTACACCCCCCCTACCCACCCCCACCCCCACCCCCACCAAAACTCCATTTCCTCATTGGAGGGTTATTGACAGAATGAAATATTTTGAAAAATAAATTGTGTGTGAAAGACCTGGTATAGGATAAGCCTTCAATCCTCAAGAGTTCAATCTGTAGACTTCAGGCTCTTAACCTTCCCTCTGCCCACAATACCCTCCATAGTCCTGCCACACTCTTCTCCTGTCTGTCCCCCAAGCCCCAGCCACCGGGGTCTACTCGCTTCTCTGGAACATCCTATACATTTCCCTAGTCCTCATTTTGTCTTATGACTCCTCCTCCTACCACCGCAAGGACTGGGTCCAAAGGAAACCTAATGCTGACTCTTACGTAGTAGAGGGGGTGCTTTCCCCTGCTGGATAAAAGCCTGCACACTTTCAGACCAACCACCCCCCACTGGATTTCCCTTTCTTTTAAGCAGAACTCTTTGCGCTATAAGCAAGCCAGGCCTCCAGTGACCTGAAATCTCAGCACTGGCATCGAGTCCATAAGAGAAGTCGTCCAATGAGAGCTTATGCTGGATGTTTATGCTTTTGTTATGCGGCCCAGTGCAGACTTGGACTTGAACTTTGCTTCTTAGTTCACTCAGCCTTGGGAAAATCTCCAGTTCTTTAACGTGTCTGTTTTCACCAATAAAATTTGTCTTGTTTTGTTTGTTTATTTTTTAAGTTCTAAGTAAATTTAAAATAATTGGGGAAGAAAGCCTAGATTTGGACCCTCGTGGATCTAGTGAGGGCAGGAGAAAGAGGGAAATAGCAAGGAGAAGCAGAAAGTAGGCCTCTCTCCCCTCACTGCAGGCAGGGTGTTGTTCTCCTTGCTGGTGGACAGGTGGATGATGGGGGGCTGGCACCTTCTGGTGCCTGTGTCGGCGCTATGGTTTAGGCATTGGGCTACTAGCTGCAAGGTTGGCACTTCAAACCCACCAACTGTTCCATGGGAGACAGATGAGGCTGTCTTCTTGGAAACCCTGCCCAGGGTAGCTGTGCTTCTGAGCTGACTCAGTGGCAGTGAGTTTGGCCTTTGGTTTTATGACCCAGGCGGAGTCCCTGGGTGGTGCAATTGGTTAACATTCTCAGCCACTAAGGGGCCACTTGGAGGTTCAAGTCTAGCCAGCATCACCACAGAAGAATGGCCTGTTGCTGAACTTTTCAAACAATTAGCCATTGCAAACCCCGTGGAGGAAAATTCTATCCTTCTATCAATGGGGTCTCCAGGACTCTGAGTCAACTGGATGGCCCCAGATGTAATCCCTGGGGGACTGGCCTCTCCTTGCTTAGACAGGAGGAATGAGTGCACTGACAGCAGCCGATTTCAAGTGGTAGCTCAGAGCAAACACATGGCGGGTTGCCTCAGGCGGCCCTGAGGGAAAGAGCCATGTAACCCACTCTTTAAGAAGGCTACCTGGGCAGAAGTAGGCAGGTGTTCAGAGGTTGGGTAGTCCATAGGGAAGCAGTCCTGCAACCTTTGAAATCATATTGCCAAGGGCTAAACCCGCAGGCACATTTCATACTTAGAATTGGCTCACAAATTCAAACTGTTTCCTCAATACTCCAGCTCTATCAGCTTGTTTTTCAACAGAGACCTTCAAAGAACACAGAGCATAGTCTAGAACCCAGAAGAAGGGCATTTCATTGCAAAGGGATAGCTACCTGAGGTTTATTTTAGTTTCCTAGGATGGCCTGGGAACCCGGGGGATATGTGGTGGGTTACATGCCAGGCTGCTCACCACAAGGCAAGTGGTTCAATTCCACCAGTGACTCAGTGGGAGACAAACAAGGCTTTCTGCTCTTGGAAAGATGGAGAGCCTTGGAAATCCTAAGGGGAAGCGCTGCTCTTTTCGATAAGGTTGCTGTGAGTCAGAATCGACTCAGTGTCAGTGGGTCGGTTAACAGGACTGCCAGAACAAAGTACCACAAGCGTCATGGCTTGTAAGAGCCAAAAATTATTATCTTACAGTTCTGGAAGCTAGAAGTCCAAGTCATCATGTCATGCATTACATATCCTTGCCAGATGTTCCTTTTCTTTGGCTTGCAGCTGCTGTACAACTTCATCTTCACATGTCTCCCCTCAGTCCCTCCGTCTCTGCTCTTATTGGATTACATGAAGATCCACCCAACTCCAGGATGACCTGTGTTAACTGATCTCCTCCTCAAAGATAGTTTTTTCATGAGATGCTATTTATAAACCCTCTCTGCTGTGGAGTCGACTCATAGTGACCCTATAGCACAGGGTCAAACTGCTCCTGTAGTTTTCCGAGATGGTAACTCTTTAGGGAAATAGAAAGCCTCCTCTTTATCCCTTGGCGCAGCTGATGGTTCCTCACTGTTGACTTTGAATTTAGGGGCCCATCGCATAACTCACTACACCACCAGCTGCTTTTTGGGAGAAAGACAGGAATTTCTAGTCCCATAAAGAGTTACACTCCTGTAAACCCACAGGGGCAGACCTACCCTGCCCCATAGGGGTGCCATGAGTCAGAATTGACTTGATGGAAATGAGTCATTTTTGTTGGTAGTGGTGGTGTGGTTTATTTATAAACAAGGTTACATACATTCAGTGGTACCATGGTTTAGAACTTCAACATAAATTAGGAGATGGGGCACAATGAATTTATAACAGGCCCCAGGTCTCATGAATATCAGAATGAACTGAACTCAGTAGAGTTCATACAGATTGATGTGGCCAGACCCCGTTGGTGTACTGGTTACGTGTTGGGCTGCGAGTCACATGGTCGGCAGTTCAAAAACCACCAGCAACACCTCGGGAGAAAGAGTGGACTTTCTACCCCTATAAACAGTTACAATCTTGGAAACCCACAATGCTAGCTGTGAGTCAGTGCTGACTCAATGGCAGTGAGTGAGTGTGGACCCTCAGTTAGATGTTGAAGTATTTCTTTACGAATTGTTAAGTAGCTGACTGCCCTAAGGCCCTCAAACACTGCTGATGTCTGGCAGTCCCAAGCTCCCCTGAGGTCCCCACGAACAACTTCCCGTGCAGCACCAGGGTGGTTTGCAGGCATAAATAACTGGTGCCCTTTCTAGCTAGTGTCTGTGTCATAGAGGTTGTCAGGTATTTTAAACATCATCCTTCACAGCACCTTAGCGTGCTACTGAAAATTTAATTGTGTCAGTATGTGAAAACTCAGCTGGGATTTGGTACAGAACAGAAACTTGATCCATTTTAATTCAAATTCCCCTAGCCCTCCTTATATTTATGCATGGAAGCTTAAGG